GATGGCCCAGCACTCTCCAGGCAGCAGCTGTGCCAGGATGCGTAGAGGGTACCCGAGTGTGCATCTCCGCAGACAACGCGTTTCCTCGGCTCGTTACTTGAGCTCGTAGTGGCTGATGGGCGTGGCAGCAGTCCTGGTAAAATGGACACCGAAATACTTCAGTGATTCTACTTTTAGAATGTAAAAAGTTTTAGGAAAGCAGGGACCTTCAGGTGTATCAAGTGGCATTTCCGAATTTCAGTGATAATAAAGCATAAAAAGTAAAAAGATTTTGAAGGGACAAGAGGACACTTCTTGACCTTAAGAAAGAGGGAGGGAGTGGGTCTTTGGAAAAGTTCTCTCTGTCATTTATGTTTCAAGTACACGGCAGCTTGAACCCCACAAGAATAGGGTGGGGAGGGGAAGGCTGCTTCAGGAGCCCCTCCCGGGGACTGCATATGATTTTGTTACACAACCAGTGGGGGAGAAGGTATTGCTGCTCCTGTGTCCCCAGGTTGCTCAGAAAATTAAACAAGAACTTTTCCTGCAGTGAATCCTCTTCTCCCATCTGGCTGCCATGTTACAGGCGGAAACGCAAACGTCAGGCCTCCGTGCGTCTCCCAGAGGCCTGCTGGTCACCCAGCCAGGCGGGAGGCCAGGACGCTGCCCCCAATCCTGCCCCATGCCCCCCTCTGCAAGCTGCCCTGCGGCCTTCTCCTCCCCTCGGCATAGGTCTGAGGATGTTCAGAGCTGTGTGGGAGGACGCAGGCAGCCAAGCCAGGCTCTGATGAGATCTGAGGTGCTTGGACACACCTTCTTCCCCAGGTGCTGGCACCCACCCCACTGGAATATTCTGCCCAGGAAGGTGTGAGTTTCTGCTAATGCTTCGCATTTGGATATTTTCCTCCTGGGTGGATCTCTCTCTCTTTCTCTCTCTCTCTCCCTCTCTTTTTTTTTTTCCCTTTCCCCTCATGTGCCCTTCTTTCTCTCCTTCCCTCCTTGTTTTTGTTTTTTGCTCTCGTCCCCCCCTCCTTCCCTGATGGTTCGCTGCTGGGCCACGTTCCGTCCCTCCGCCCCCTCGCACCTGCTGCCGCTTCCTGCCGCTCTGACCTCAGGACGGGGCCTTCTTTATGGAGTTTGTCCGCAGCCCACGCACAGCATCGTCCACCTTCTACCCGCAGGTCAGTCCAACCCCAGGGCCCCGAGGCCCGTGCATGCCTGTCCGTCGCAGAAGCCGCGACCTGGCCTTCAGCTCGGCTCTGAACGCGTGGAATTGGGCCGAAGCAGAGTTTGAGGGGCAGTTGAAACTGAATTCAGTCTCAGAGGTGCATTTCCTTTCTTGGTGTTTGTGGTGACAGAGGGGGATGAGGAGATTAACGTCAGAAAACATGCTGGCACGTGTGGCTTATGTGTTCCCGTCTTTGTCATGTGTTGCCACTGACGCTTGGCCACAGGGCAGCATCTTCCTATTTAGGTGTTTTTGTCCATATGACATAAGCAACATGATACATGCTGACTTAAGGACAGAACTCTTATTTTTTTCTTCCTAGTACAAGCAGATAAATTTATAGCAGTGCGGCAGGAAGTGGTGAAAAACAGAGCAAGCAATTACTACCAGGCATGTGCTTTGTCATAGACTGAGGGTGTGCGTCCCTGGGCAGCTTGCCTCTGGACTGTCCTGAACTCGCGTGTCACATAAAGCGTTAGGACCCATCTCAAGGGGCTTCCAAGCCTTAAAACTCTTCACTTACTAAGTGCCAGGCTCATAGTATTATTTCATCTCATCCTCACAGCGTAGCCTATGAGTTAAGCAGAAGTTTTATCCCAGTTCTACAGATGGAGAAATTGAGGGCCAAAGAACTTGTGCTTCACACAGTACAGGGTTGAGCTGGGATTTAAATCAGGATGCTTGATTCATTACCCCCACCCCATAATTAGCATCGGTCATTGCTGTGCTGACAGATCTTGGTGAAGAGAACCTGGGCTCCCTGCCCTTTATTGAGGCCCCTGAGTATATGTGATTGACCTGGTCACAGAGATTTGAAAGGGAGGAGAGGGTTTATGCAGAGCAGGGCAGGCTCAGGAGGACAGACGTGGGAGGTTCAGGGCAAAGGTTTAGGAACCATTATTTGGTGGAAGTGAGAAAACCAACATGGATTGAGGACCTGCTCCGCCAGGTACTGTGCAAAGGGCTTTGCAAACAGCCTGTGAGTCCATGAGGTACATGTACTATCATCCCATTTTCCAGATGAAGAAACTGAGGCTTAAGTATGTTGCTTGGTCAAAGGGCCCGGAACTAGCAAGTGGCAGAGCCCCTCCACTGTTCTGTAGTTCACACTGGTGTCTTCCCTTTCTTGGGAGGCCAGAGGGCATCTTGGGTCTGTGCTGGGCTCTTCCCAGTGAAAGCGCGACCCTGGGCAGGTCCCCGTTGGGGCCTCTGAGTCTTAATCCAGCAATCACCATCCATAGGAAGCAACCTGCCCTTGTGGTTTAAAACAGACTCCGGTTGGAGTTTTTAACCTTTTACTTTCTAACAATAGACCCTCTTGTGAAAAGCTTCAGACTTAGATTAGAACTTAACCTAAGAAAAATCAACAGAGTGGGAGAGAATTGTTTTATACATCCTGTAATACTACACACAGGTTCACGTGGTGGAATTCACCAGAAGAACAGAAGTGGATAAGTTCCTGGAATTGGAAACAGCAAACAGAGATGAGGAGTTTATGTTACCCACCATTAAAAAAAAAATGATCCCGTGTAAGATGTAGTAAGGGAGCGCTCTGTACTGACATGAAATTAAATTGAGCTGTGCTGAGTGCCGTGGGAGATACAGGGATGAACACGACACCCTGTGGACGTTGCTTGTTTGATGTCTGTTCCCCCCGCTCACCCCCAGATGGTGAGCACCATGAGGGCAGGGGAAGTTTGTTTTGGGGGAGTTTTTTTGTTTGTTTATTTAGCATTTTATTTTATATTGAAGTATAGCCGATTAACAATGTTGTGTTACTTTCAGGTGAACAGCAAAGTGATTCAACATGTATCTAGTATAGCCGATTAACAATGTTGTGTTACTTTCAGGTGAACAGCAAAGTGATTCAGTTATACATGTATCTATTCTTTTTCAAATTCTTTTCCCATTTAGGTTGTTACGTAATATTGAGCAGAGTTCCCTGTGCTATACAATAGGTCCTTGTTGGTTATCCGTTTTAAATATAACAGTGTGTACGTGTCAATCGCAAACTCCAGGGGAGGGTTTTGATAAGGGGGTGATATTCCTTTCTTCTCTGATGATATAAACCTTGGAAAACATCCTGGCTGTGGGGCTGGGGTTATTCTCCAGCTCTACAAGGTATATGGGATTCCGTCATGAGTGCTTTTACGAGGCCTCTCTGTGCCTGGATGGTGCTGGGTGGCTCGAGGCCAGGAGCCCTGCTTAACCCACCTCGTCTCCAGGTGGGACACTGGCCTCAATGCACAGTTGAGGGCTGGGCTGGCGGGTCCTGCTGTGTCCTGGTGGCTGGTTGTCCTCCAGCAGGAGCAAGCAGGGCTCTGACAGGCATGGGGTTGGGGGCAGTGGGGGCACATATTGTGGTTGATGCTCATCTCAGAGGCGTCCTTGGGAAAGCCCCCTCCCTCAGCTTCTCCCACAGCTTTGGGCGTGTGAGAAGGTGGGAGGAGAAGGGGTTGGTGTTGCTGGTGAGGGTTGTTGGTTTGTTTGTTTAATTAACTAAATGCCAAACTTTATTTGGATTTCACCGTTTTTTCTGTGAACGTCCTCTCTGTTCCAGGGTCCAATCCGGGGCACCACGTTGCATTTAGCTGCCATGTCTGCCCAGTCTCCTCTGGTCTGTGACAGTTTCTCAGTCTTTTCTTGTTATTTGGGTTGGTTTTTTTTTTTTTTTTTTTTT